GATTATGTTTTATATTTATATTCATGTGAATGACTATTTATTATAGTTTGGCCCGAGTTTCATACCTGGGATTCTCAAAACCCTCCACGACAAATAAACAAGGAAATCATTAAGGGAGATTGTTTAAGAAGACATTGAAAAGGAGGAGGCCGCAATGAGGGTTTGTGGGAGAAGGAATCGACTAGATCAACAAAATTTGAAGTAGAAGAGTTTACGAGACTTGTGCATTTAAATTAAATCCGAAATATGAGATTTAACATAAATTGGGGATAAATGAGATTAATAATTTTTTTATAAATTTAATTGAGCCACTCAAGGAGCCAATGGGTCATGTCTCATCAAACTCAACATCGTGCTCATAGAAAATTGTAGCCATAATCAAAGCTTGAGGTCAAGCTCCCAACTTGATAAGCTCAACCCAATGAGAGATTATTATGTATGGTCATTGGACCGTCCGAAAGCCAATCAGGATACACCACATCAACGTATTGGTGATGTGGCGCGCGCGTTCTTATTGGCTTCCAGACGGCATCAGATGACCGCTTGTAATAATTTCGCTAACCCAAGAGCTTGTTAACAAGTCAAGACCTAGTTGACTTGCAAACCAACTTAACTCAATCCCCCTAATTCTTATCTCCTCTCTCACTAATTCTCTCTAATAAGCTAAGCTCCACCTAGAGAGCTATTATTCTATGCGAATACTAGACAGTTCTCCCGTTCGGTTATGCGCTCAGTATCGAGCGGTACCGACCGCGATATATTTTTGAGATGATGTGACGTATTTTTATTAGTTTCCGGATGCCCTCCAGAATCTGCACATAATAATAAATCCTGCCTAGAAGGCTCTAACAAGAGAGCTGCAACCGCAACGGGGATATCCAACGAGTAGCAAAAAAAATATAATCCAAAACATGATCACCATACGCGCAAATATAAAAATACACTTTTTCTACGCTTTAATTATATTTACCAGAAATATCAAAATACCTACAAATTAAATTCTTCGCAATCAACAAAATGACTACATTTTTTATATTCCCAATTAAAAAAATATATATGATACTACTCAAATTGACTTTTTTTAACGACCTTTAAAATATATATAGATCCTTTAGCGACTACTTTTTTTATGGTTTAATTTACTTTCAGTTTTGCCACTATGTCTAAGCTTTGATTTCAGTAGTGATGAAAAATTCAATTATTTCAGTTTTGCATTTTGTTTGAGATAATTTTTTTTACTGTTTCAAATTTTAGATTAATTATAATTTTTATTTGATGTTTCTTTTTTATTATTTTCAAGAATTTTGTGCAATAATTTATTTTTATGATAATTTTAACAAAATTATTTTCTCCTCAACAATTTTAAAACCACTTTTACAAAATATTGCACCAATACTAAATGAATTCTTAGGTTTCATTTGTGATAACTTTATTACAGCTTTCTTAAGCAAATTTTAGTACAAATTTTTTTTAAACTTAATGATTTTTTTACTAAAAAACAAAGAAAATCATCTCAAACAAAGCCTTAATTTCAATATTTATACTTCAACTTCTTTTGAAATAGCTTTTTATTATAATTTTTGTATGTTTTCCATGAAGCCTTCATTGAGGACAACTTTCTTATTATTTTGCAAAACCATTATAGAAAAAATAAATTTTTAAGGCTATTGTGAAGAGGAATTTTTTAATAAAAAATATTTTAAAAAACAATAAAAAATATGATTACAATATAAAAAATAATATAATAAAAAATTGTCCCAAACAACACCTTAATTTCAATTAATTTGCTTAAGATGATTAAAATGTGAAGTAAACTTTAAAAGATCGAATAAAATTGTACTTAGAGACAAATCCGTAAGGGAGTTCTACACATCGATGAAAAGACTGCTCATTTAAAAAACAGACATTTATATGCTTGTATTTTTATTTTTTAATGTTCTTCAAAAAAAAAAAACTAATTAAAACAAAATAATGTGCAAAAGAATTTCTGAAAACGCACGAAAATTTATATAAATTTTCAAAACAAACAATTATAAATATAAAAAACAGATCCATATTTTTTTTGTTAGGTGAATGAAATTTGAGGAAAAAAAGGAATTTACATACATACCACTTTATGTCATCCTATTTACGTATCTAACACCTAAAATTTTAATATTACATACGTATCACCCTATATTATTTTAATATAAAATATACCACTCATATTTCCTTCCTACCACTTATATATTTCATTTCTGCTACACATATTTGATATGAAAATGAATTATGAGTGGTATATATGTAATATTAAAGTTTTAGATGTTAAATATGTAAATAGAGTAGTATATGGTGGTATGTATGTAAACATACCAAAAAAAAAATCAAGAGCAAATCACAAGAAGGCCCAACTTAGGCCTTGTTTGGTAGCGGAAGAAGTTTTGATGAGAAACAGTAGTTTCAAGACAGCCTTTTACCAATTGATAAGTAAAAATAAAAAGCTTTGCAAATTGGTATCATAATGGAGGTTTGAAAAAAACAGTTTTATAAAGGAATTTTTACATTAATGAAAATACATATTTAACACCCAAACTTATATATTTACTAATATACCACCTAAAACCCCTCTTTTAATCAATTATAACATTCCGTTTATACCTTCCGTCAAAAATCACTATCAACGACTACCTTCCCTGTCAATGACATCCTTTCACGGTGAATACAAGTATCTCATCGCTTCAATGGAGTAGTATAGTAGGAAAAATGAATTTTAGGTAATATATTAATAAATATAAAAATTTAGGTGTTAAATATATATTTTCTATGATTTTAAGAGTTATGCATGTAAAAATCCCTTTTATAAAAGATATGCATCCTAACAACAATAGACATCTTTTTTCAAGTTTTAAAATAAAAACGGCACTAATTACGCCAAACCAAACCAAACCTTAGCGAAAGATTGATGTACTACCGTCTTCCTATAAATTCAGACTAATCAATCAAGAGCAAAAACTGCTACAAGCATTTTCAATTTTTTTTAAAGCAAAATTATTAGTATGGTGTCAGGATGCGTCCGGAGGCCAATCTTAATATACTACATCATCCAATGTACATCCAATGCACCGTACATTGGATGCAATGGAGCATAAGAATTGGCCTCCGAACGCATTCCGAACACTGCACATAATAATCCCTCTTAGAAACAAAATGATATGGATCCAAAAATAATCTATTATAAATTCTGATTGATTAAAACTTTATTTGGGATAATTTTCTTACTAATTTAAATAATTTAATTTTTTAAAATTATTATCAAAATAACTTTGTAGTATGTCAAATAATTTTTTTATGATTGCTATCATAAATATATAAAGTAATAAGAAAGCTATCTCAAACGAAACCTAAGACTTCATTTGGGATGACTTTTTTACCATTTTTTGAAGTAACTTTCTAATACAAATACTTACTGTGCTAAAAACTGCTTTAGAAAATAATAAAAAAACTATTTCAAACAATAAGTCAAAATTCATGCTCTCATAATTTTATTTCAGCAGAAATTCATAAATTCATGAAGTGATAAAATGCTTATCCAATTCTTGAACTTGATTTTCTATTTCGCCATATCCTTAGTCAAGTTTGCTTTCTACAACACAGAAAAAGATACGCATACAAACCAAGCGTTCGACGAGCTACTCGATACTCGGTTCGATTAAAGCTCATTTGTGATCGTCAATTTCTCAATCCATTATTACCGAACCTAATTTCAATTTAGGGTTCTTAAGTTTGCTACCATCACTAGTTCTATGCATGTTACAATATGATTATATTGATTCTAATTTTGTGAAAAAATCACGACTTCCAAATACTTTCAAATCAACTCTTAAAATACAAAATAAGCAACAAAATAAGATGGTTTAAGGTTATCAACAAATATGGATTAAAATGTTTTATCTTTATAATAGAATTGATTAATATATACAGCATAATTAAGGAAAAAAGACTCTACTCTTAGCTCTCACTCTTTCATTTAAAAAAAGTCTATTGAATTAGTTACCTTAACAGACTAAAGGTTTTCTAAGGAAGAAAAATTCCTAAGTTGGCATGTTGGTCTCTTATTTGAATTGATTATGTGCAAGACAATTTATCAAGCTCAAGCTGATTTGTCTATCTAAAACTTAACTACATTGAAGACCATGACTATCATGAATCACAAATCTCCATCAGCATCCATGGCTATAAAAAACAAATGCATAAATTCCACTTCACACATCATTTGTTAGTAGAGCATCAAATGTTGAACATGTTTTTTACAAATCTTCCAAACATTTACTAATGTAAATTTTGGTCCAACACTTTAAATTCATATCTTTCAACTTTAATTTTTTCCTATTTGTCTTCTTGGGAAAATTTTTTTATCTTCCATGTACATGCCAAAACAATCAAATTTCAATTTTTCAATTTTGAAGAACAACTCATCATTTTTAATATAATTGATTTCCCAATCTAGCATTATTTACCATAAATTCAGTTTAATGTTCCCAATTCTACTAATATGACTAGTTGAGATCGATTTCAACTTTAGATGTGGCGACGTGAGATCTTTTAGCAAAGTGAAGGAGATA